TGGGCTGCACCGGCCCCACAAGAGCCCAAGAACTACCAATCCCAGAATGCACGGCGTCGGCGTCAACCCCGGGGCGCGGGGTCTGCTGGGCAATGTAGTTCGCCAAACGTCTGATTCGGCCAGCGGAAGAGTTTTCTGTGGGTAGGATTCCCGCAAAAGGCTCTGTCCCAGCACCGACTTCTTGGAATATGCTGGTCTTACTAGAAACTGCAGTCAACGACTACCATGGCTTGTGGCTTACTTCCCTTTGTGGGAAGCGTTTTTACAAAAAAATCTGTGAGATAGATTACTAGTCCCACTTTATAGGTGGATAAATAAAAGTTAGGTTACAGGTGAGGCTGGGTATTTCACAATGAAGGTGGAACTGTTCATTGTTTGGGACTATCCCAGGTTTAGGAGAACGTTTTAGCAATCCACGATAATAACTCCTTTATTGTGACACCTCAAAATGAGGCCACACAACAGATTCCAAAGTTCTGGGCAGTGACACCTGTTTTCTCAACACCCCAGATAGGACCCTGGCTTCTTTCTTCTTCATATCCCACCCCCTCTCCTACTTCAGTCCTCCACTGCGTCCCTCCCCACCCCCCAAACTGTATGTTCACTTTGTTTTTCTTTGGTCTTATCATTCATAGTTCCTTGCAACTTCTAGAATGGGCTTAAATAGATACCAGGAAGTATCTAGTGCCTCCTTCCTTCCCATTTTCCCATCATCAGCTTTTTAGAAATCCTCACCCGAGGATCTATTTGATTTTAGAGAGAGAGGAAACCAGAGAGGGAGAGAGAGAAAGAAACATAGAAACATAATATGTGCCCTGACCAAGGACTGAGCCTGCAACATTTTGGCGTACAAGATGACACATGAACCAAGCCACCCAGCCAGGCAGCTTTTTTGTTTCGATCCCATATAGCTGTAGGGGCTGGCTTTTCTCTCTGAATATATGTTCAGTTCTCCTCGAGCAGAGCCTCAGAATAGACGCAAATACTTCTAAAGCCCTGAGCATCATGCACAACGGCCCCAGTTCTCCTGGGAGAGGTACTCTTCTGCTCTGAGTTCTGCCGCCATTGACCGGCCACTTTTACCCCAGAGACAGAACTGAAGGGAAAGTAGCCTATCTATTATGTGCAATTCTCCCAGTGGACACTGGAGGGCTCTCCACTCACAGAATGCAAACCCAACTAATCAGATCAAAGCTGTAGATGAATCTTTTAACAGCTGCAGCTATTGTTTACTGAAAATCTAAGTGCCCAACTCTGAGCTGGAAAATAACTTACCTTATTTTCCTCAGTTCTAATAACAGTAGAGGATGGATATTACTTCTATTTTGCTGATAAGATTGTGGCCCAGAAAAATTAATTATGCCTTCAAAGGCCACATAGTTAAAAGAATGGATCCAAAATTCAACTTCAGAATCCATGCTCTTTTCCCATTTCCAGATTACCTTTCCTCAGCTTTAAAAATTGATAGCCCTTGTCGGGCCCGGTTTGGCTCAGTGGATAGAGCGTCGGCCTGCAGGCTGAAGGGTCCTAAGTTCGATTCCAGGTACCTTGGCTGCGGGCACATCCTGGTGGGGGTGTGCAGGAGGCGGCTGGTGGATATTTCTAACTCTCTGTCCTTCTCCTTTCATCTCTGTAAAAGATCTGTAAAATATATATATATTTTAAGTGGATAGCCCTAGTGGTTTGGCTCAGTGGATTGAGCGACCGCCTGTAGACTAAAGGTTCAATTCCAATCAAGGGCACATGCCAGGGTTGTGAGCTTGATCCCCAGTAGGGGGTGTGCTTAAGGTAACCTATCAATGATTCTCTCTCATCATTGATGTTTCAATCTCTCTTTCCCTCTCTTTTCCTCTCTGAAATCAATAAAAACTGATTTTAGCCAAAACCGGTTTGGCTCAGGGATAGAGCGTCAGCCTGCAGACTAAAAGGTCCCAGGTTTGATTCCGGTCAAGGGCATATATCTTGGTTGTGGACACATCCCTGGTAGGGAGTGTGCAGGAGGCAGCTGATCGGTGTTTCTCATCGATGTTTCTCTCCCTTCCTCTCCGTAAAAAATCAATAAAAGATATTTAAATATATATATATAAAATATATATTTTAAATGGATAAATTATATATCTTTTTAATGGATAAATTAAATATAAATTATATTTTTAAATGGATAAATTAAATATAAATTATATTTTTAAATGGATAAATTAAAACCTAGAAAAGTGATGAAGTTTGTCCAAGTTCATAATAGTTCTAGTAGTTCTAGCACATCTCTCTCATGAATGAGACATATAAAATATTGAGCTTAAAAGATATTTGGCCGAAACTGGTTTGGCTCAATGGATAGAGCGTTGGCTTGGGGACTGAAGGGACCTGGGTTCGATTCCGGTCAAGGGCATGTACCTTGGTTTCGGACATATCCCCAGTAGGGGGTGTGCAAGAGGCAGCTGATCATTGACTCTCTCTCATCGATGTTTCTAACTCTATCTCTCTCCCTTCCTCTCTGTACAAAATCAATAAAATATATATATTTTTTAAAAAGATATTTATTTGATCCCTGGCTTGTGTGGTCTGGTAGTTAGAAGGGTCTCAGGTTTGATTTCTGGTCAAGGGCACATACCTGGGTTGCAGGTTTGATCTCTGGCCCCAATTGGGGCGTGTGTGGGAGGCAGCCAGTCAATGCACATAGCTTTCTCTCTCCCCCTCCCTCCCTCCATTTCACTCTCTCTATAAATCAATGGAAACAATATCCTTGAGTGAGGACCAAAAATAACAAAAAAGATATTTGTTTGTTTTAACCTGTTAGTTCTTTCATAAGCATACGTCTTTGGAGATGGAGACAAAGAGACCATGTTCTAGTGAGAACACAGGCAGAGTCTCCTCTTTAGGGACAACATGGCTAGTAATAATGGGCCAATGGGATTACAGTTAGCATCGAGACTTGGTTTGAATCTTGCTTCCTCTACCTACAACCAGCATAATCTCGTGCAAGTTCTGTGGCATCTCTGGCTTTCCTGTTTCCGTTTTTATAAAGTAGGAACTTGCCTCAGGGTAGGACTTGCCTCAGAGGAGTGAGAAGTGCAAGTTCTGGAGCCAGGTTACCTGGTTTTGCATTCAGCTTCTACCACGTTCTGGCTGTGTGACCTTGGATACATTAACTAATATCTCTGAACCTGTTTCCTTGTCGGTAAAATGAAGTAGATGGTATTCCATAGAAATAAATAATATATAAAGAACTCCAAAGCATCTCTGACCCACTGTAAACATTTAGCAAATGTTAGCTATTATCATCTATCTGTAAGGTTACATATGATGTTGGTAAAGCTACCAGCACAGTGCTGAGCACACTCAATACCTACCCTGTTTCCCCAAAAATAAGACAGTGTCTTATATTAATTTTTTCTCCCAAAGTTGCGCTAGGTCTTATTTTCAGGGGATGTCTTATCTTTCCATGCGATAGGTCTTATTTTCAAAGGATGTCTTATTTTCAGAGAAATGGTAGTAGCTCTCTCTTTCCAACACACTGTGAAACTTGGGAAAAAATAACTATAAGTCACTGAAGAGAAGGGAAGCTAAGGCCCCTGAGCTGCCCTCAACAGGCAATAGAATTGGAAGGTCAAGAAGGCAGAGATGATTTCTCTCTGAACTCAGATGAGACCAGAACTCCTGCAGGCTGGGATCTCAACAGCCTGGACGCTTGGGCTTCACCAAACCCCTGTTTTTTTCTAGTCACTGGGGCAATGGTTCTCAGCCGGGAGTGAGTTTGCCTCTGGGAACACGTAGCAATATCTGGAAACATTTAGACAACCGGGGAGGGGACTGCTACTGGTAGCCAACAGGGAGAGAGGCCAGGGATGCTAGGCCTCCTCCAATGCACAGGACAACCCTCACAGCCATCCCTTCTCTGGTCTAAACTGTCTTTAGTCCCGAGGCTGAGAAACCCTGCCCTCGAGCTGAGATCCTCAGTGGCTTAGTAGGACTGGCTGGGGTTGGGGTAGGAGGGGCGGGAGGAGAGGGAGCAGCCTCACTGGAAGTTCCGGGGGGACGGAGGCAGCCGCTGGGCAGCCCACAGAAGGGCCCCGGGCAGCTTTCCCCTCATTATCGGTGACCAAAGAAACAGAAAGAAGCTAAGGAAACAGAGCCACCTTCTTTATATGTGTTATATTTTTTCATTAATAAATAGGTTTTCTTCTTTAAACACAGAACATGTAACAGGTTGAAACACTCCCCCCTCCCCCCGTTCCAAAGACAAGAGTCTATAAAACAAATGCCAGCTGCCCTGCCCTAGGGGCAGACAAAGTCTGGTGACCCCCACCCAGCCCTGCCCCCTGCAGCACCACCACCCCCACACTGCAAGAGAAGGGGGCCCAGGGCTTCTCCCTCGGGCCCTGGGGACTCAGGTGAGAAGCGTGTGAATGTATGATGTCACCTCTCCACGAGGCATGGGCTATGCGGAGATGAGGTTTCCTTCCCATCGGCTCTGACCAGCTCCTGTCCTTCCGATGTCAGGTCCGAAGCCCCTGGGCTCAGCTCCCAAGGGGGCTGCCTCACGGCTTCCCCGCTCTCCACTCCTCTGTGGCCTGCCTCCTCGGAGGGGAGGGGGAGGCCTCGGGGACCCCTGCCCGCCCCTGGCCTGCCTGGGAACGCTGGGTGGAAGAGGCGTGATGCTGAAGGTGAGGCTCTTGTAAGACCCCTGAGCCCATGAGGCCAGCATGCCCCCCACACTCCACACCCTTCCTTCCTCTGGAGGGGGGTGGGTGGGGCACGGGGCAGCCACCCCCTCCACCACCTAGCGCCTGGCTTGGGGTGTGATGGTTCTTTCTTAGCGTCGGGTCCTCACGCCGGGCCTGGCTTTTTCCTCGTCCCATTCTCGCCTCCTTCCAAGCCCTCACCGCGGCAGTCTGCAAAACTCGTTGTCCAGTGTCCTTCATTGTCTCATCCTCCCTCTCCCCGGGCCTCTGCAACCCGAGGGAGGGGCGGGAGGCGGTCTCCCCTCTCCGACCCCCACTTCACATAATGGCGCAGCTCTTGGCCTTTTCCTTCTTGAAGGTGGAGGAGATGAGTTCAGAGCGGCTGGGGAGGTGGAGCAGGCGCTTCGAGAAGCTCCGGGCGGGGCTCTTTGGGGGCGTGGGGCTGGGCTTGTTCAGACACACCATGGATGCCGTCCGGAAGATGCTGTGGATGCTCTTCTCCGAGGTGAAAGCAGAGCCTTCCAGGTAGATCTCCGCACCCAGCTGCTTGGCTATTGCACAGCCCTGCGGGGACAGGGAGAGAGGGGGTGAGGTCACTGATGCAGCGGTCCGAATGGCTCGGAAACACTGCCTCCAGAGGGGAACGGACTGCCAGTCTCCCACCGTCACCCTCTGCTAGTTATTTTCTGAAGGTGAAGCCTGACAGCAACTTAGCATCACCTGGGACACTTTTAAAACCATACTGAGCCCTAGCTGGTTTGGCTCAGCGGATAGAGCGTCCGCCTGTGGACTGAAGGGTCCCAGGTTCGATTCCAGCTTAAGGGCACATGCCCAGGTTGTGGGCTTGATCCCCGGTAAGGGGCATGCAGAAGGCAGCCGATCAATGATTCTCTCTCACCATTGATGTTTCTATCTCTCTCTCCCTCTCCCTTCCTCTCTGAAATCAATAAAGACATGTTAAAAAAAACAAAAAAAAAACATATTGATACCAAAGGGCTTGTATGCATGCATATTAGCATAACCAACGGACACAGACACTGGGGCAGTGGGGGCTGGGGCAGTGGGGGCTGGGGCAGTGGGGGCTGGGGCAGTGGGGGCTGGGGCAGTGGGGGCTGGGGCAGTGGGGGCTTGCCCAGGATGGGAATAGCTTGGGGAGGGGGTTGAACTAGGGGAGGAGGGGAGACTTATGTAAAACTTTAGACAATAAATAAATTTTAAAAAATACAATAAACAACCCCACATGGATGCCAGACCAAGTAAATCAGAATTTTGGGGGGTAGGGCCTAGGCATTCGTATTTTTAAGAGCTCCCCAGACAAGTCTAATATGAAACATTGGTTTTGAAAAAAACAAATCTTTACTCCCATCTGCATAAGAAATTATCCAGGATTTCATTAAAAGTGTAATTTCATATCTTTGTCCCAAAGTGACTCTATCCATATGGAGTCAGGAATTCTAATAAGCACCTCGAGCATTCTGGTGCAGGTGGTGCACGAAAACAACCTGAGGAACACAGAGGAATGCTCACCTGCCCACCTGGAGCATAAATCTGGGTAAGTACCAGCTCCATCCAGGGGATTAGCTGCTGATGATAGATGGCCCCCAAATACCAATGCTCCCTTGCTGTAGTGAGAGCCTGAACAGGGCTACATTTCAAGTCCTTTGCATACAGCATCTCCACCCCCTCCCCCCTAGTACACAGTGGCATGCACGCACCTGCTCGTAGGAGATGGGTGCCTGCTTCTGGTGGGACAGCTCCATCAGGGTGCTCAGGTCTGTTCGCAGGTCTGTCTTGCAGCCAACAAGCAAAACACGGGTGCTGGGGCAATAATCTAGGATTTCCGTCCTCCACTGAAGAGCCAGGCAGAAAAGGACAGTCAGTGGCTGATGTACCCAGAGGAGCCCAGCTGGCAACATCACACCCTGTAGAGCTTATCACCGGCCCAGCCATCCCTCTGAGTCACAGCATCGCCACTGCACAATGACATCATCTTCCAGCCTGTGAGGGCTTGGGGCCATGGGAATGCTGACCCAAGAGCCTGTCCCCTCTTCCAACAGCCCAGTCACTAGAGAAAGAACTGGAGCAAATCTCTTTCCTCTCTCTGCCAAGCAGTCGAGCCTGGATCTGCTCCTTCTATCCAGTCAGAGGGCTCCACAGATTCAGAAAGCCAGAAGGAAGACGACCAGTCTCTTCCCAAGGGAAGGTGATAGTCCCAGAGACTTCTGGGAAACTAGGCTAGTTCCACAAGGTTTCCTGGGACTCCTCCGTATGACCAGATTTTGCCACCCAGACCTAGGCATGTCCTACCGGCTGCTCTGCTCTGCTCGGGCCTGCCTGGCCTGCCCAGTTCTGGTGGCCTGGGATCAAGGCCTACAGAAGCTGCCTCCAGAAGACCTCATCCCTCACCCTCAAACCATACCCCCAGGAGGTTCTCTGACGCTCAATCCTCCACTTCCTGGGTCTTCAACCCCACCCTCCCTTGCTGGTCCTCTGGCAGAGCAGCATGGGGCAGGGGCAGGGGCAGGAGAGCTGGGTTCTAGTCCCAGCGATGTGGCTAATGGCGTGGCCTGGGGCAGATTTCTCCCTCCCCTGGCCTCAGTGTCTTTCTGTTATACAAGAGGGGATGAGATGACAAGGTCCTCCATGGTCCTTTTTGTTCTCGACCTAAGCTAGAGATGGTCGAGTTTCAGACTCACCTTCTTGAGTGCACTATCCACTGTCTCCGGACGGCTGATGTCAAAGCACAGTAACACTGCGTCCGAGTCACTGTAGCAGAGTGGACGGACATTGTCATAGTAGGGGGATCCTGTTAGAGGGGAGAGAGAGCTGATGATGAACCATGGCACTTTCCCTCCCCTACAGGCCCAACCCCACCGAGCCTGGGAAGACCATTCTTGGTCCCCGAGGTTAGCTGGCCCCTCCCATCTCCCAGGGGAACCTGCTGCCCCAAGGAAGCTGGGGACCTGACCACCTGCCAGAAGCATGAAAAAAAAAAAAAGGGAAAAGGGCAAAATGTAAGGCCGAGTGGAACATGATTTTCCCTGTCAGGGTCACCTGCTCTGGGCTTTATTTAAGGTGCCGGTTCTGAGTCCCCGAGGAGGGTGCTCTCCCCCCTGCCCCCCTGCAGAGACCAGGGCTTGTTAGGGTCTCCTCTCTCCAGAGTCTGCCTGCTGCGCCGCCTCTGCCCCCCTTTTCCGCTCCAAGGTTCTCCCCGAGGAAGACACAACCTGCCTGTTACATAACAGCTGCCCTGCTTGTCTGCCATGGGTCAGACTCTAAGCGGCGGGGAGAAACTCAGTGCCCTGCTCCTCCTCTACCCAAACCGGCTCACGCTGAAAAGGGCCAAAAGAAGGCTGCAGCCTCCCCCCCCCCCCCCCCATCTCAGGGAGACAGTCTCAGACAGTGGCTCCAGAGCTGGGGGTGTACAGGGAGGGTCCTTCTCCGGGAGGCAGTGGGCAGTGCAGACGCAGGTGGTCTCACATGGGAGACGGCTGGGAGCTGAGCCTGCCCCCTCCACCCTGGGAAGGAACAGTAGCAGATTTGGAACCCAGACAATCCGTGCTCAGAATAGCAAGCAGCCCCTCTCCCTGCACCACAATCACCATGGAAACTGGGGGGAATCCAAGTGGGGAGGGGGTTGGTTGTTAAAAAAAAAAAAAAAAAAAAAAAAAAAGAGGAAAGGGGAGTTGGGATGGCTGCCTGCTCCTCCAGCCATCTGCCCCCGTCCCCTCCCTGAGGTGGGGTCCCCTCGCCCCCAGCACTGAGCAGGGGGAGCACTGCAGCGCTGGGGAGGGGGAGGGGGGGAGGCCTCCATCTGGCTCCAAGCAATCCCCCTCCCCTAAGACTGAATAATGGGAACAGGTTCCACCCAGGCCCCAATGCTGGGAGGCCCCATTCCTCCCTCCTTCCCGCGCCTCTGATTGAAAGAGGGAGTTTGAGGATGACGGACAGCCAGCATCCTTTTGGAAATAGGGGGTGTAGGTATGGGGTGGGGATTCGATGTAGGAAACAGAGACCACCTTGCTGGTTTTCCATTATCTGGATTGGAATTCCAAGGCTGCATTCCGACTGCGGGAGGAGGGGGAGGCCGGAGGAGGGGGAGGCCGGGAGGAGGGGGAGGCCGCAGGAAGCGGTGGTGGCGGAGGGGAGTGGCGCGTTGGCGCGGTGGTAGTGGAAAGAGAGGAGCTGCGGTAAGATTCTGGGAAGATGGAGAGGTGGACAGGAGACGGCAGATGCAAACGCATACATCACGCAGCCAGCTGCGTTCCAGCCGGCTCCAGCCAGCCCAGAGGTCCGGGAGAGCCGGCACCTGGCCTCCTCCCAACCCCTGGAACTGCAGCTCAGGAAGCAGAGCAGGTTGAGGAATTTTTGTTTTGCTTTGTTTCGTTTTAGGAGAAGGAGGTGGGAGGGCAGGGGAAGTCTCATTTTTCTGTATGCCCTCCCCTCCCCTACCCCAACCCTCCTCAGACCTCAGCATTGGATCCTGGGAACAACGGCCCTTTGGAGGAACAGGACTGCATATTTATTATATGGAACAGGAAGCCCCTAGTGATTTATAGTTCCTCCTTAAACTCAGCCTGGATATGCATTTTTAGAGAGGAGCAGATTTCATTTTCTTTCTCCTGTTCCTGGCCCTTCGTCCTTAATTACCACGCTGAACCCAGTCTGTTTAAAAAGGGCTGGGGTAGAGAGATAACGGGAGGGAGGGGGCAGAATCAATGCAAGGGGTAGCCTGGCACGGAGGGTTTAGGGCGGAGAGGCTGGGAAAATATTGCTTCCTACATCCCAGAGAGATGGGCACGGCTACCCGGGCCCGGTGTGGGGAGATGGCCCCCTCCCGCCACTGCCCACAGTGTGACTGCCCCACATCGACTGTCTCCCCACCCTCCAGAGCCTGGATGATGCATCACTCAGCCCTGAGCCGCAGCGCTATGACGAGCAGGGCTGAGCTGCGGCAGCAGCAGACAGCGGTGGGAGCCGGAATGCAGGAGAGAGAACTGAGGCAGGAAAGGAACGCTATTCCTCCAAAGCAGGCTGTTTCCTTGCCTCCACCGCCACTGCCCCCAGCAGCACTGCCTTCGGCCTCATTTGGCTTTGGCTTTGCTCTGGGGCAGGAGAGGCCGTGTGTGTGTGTGTGTGTGTGTGTGTGTGTGTGTGTGTGTGTGTGGTAGCAGGGTGTGAACATGGAGAAGCCCGTCTGACTGACTGCCCCCCAAGAAGTATTCAGGGGTCCCTTCGCTTCTCCGTCCAGCCCTCTGAAGGATGCCGCTAGACCCAGAGGAATGAGTGGCGGCTTCTGGGGTTCTTCCATTCTGCACCCCTGAACCAGCCAACTGAGCTGACCAAGGCCCTCTCCCTACACCCAACAGAGGAATCTTCAGGTCCCCCTCGTTCAGTTTTCTGGCAAGCACCCTACTCCTCCCCATCGAAGAGGAAAACAATGTCTGACACCCAGAGCTGCCACCGCCCAGCAGCGGCGGGCAGGGGCGTCTGGGGCCGGCAGTCTCACCTGAGGTGTCCCAGAGACTGAGCTCCACTCTCTGCTCCTCTGTCTCCAGGCAGGCTGTGTAATTCTCAAACACGGTGGGCACGTAGGTCTGTGAGGAGAGAGGAAAATTCACACCTGGGCCCCCTGCCCTCTGGCTGCCCAAGATGCTAACGTGGCCAGAGGAGGGGTGCTTGGGGCAGGGGGGACCACATGGGACAGGAGGCAGGAGCAGGTAGAGGCACAGGCACTTGGCTCCATCAGATTAAGAAATGGGACTGACTTTCAGCCCGGGATGTGCCCCCATATTTTAGACGGTTGGGGACACACACACACACACACACACACACACACACACTCACTCCTCTCATCCCCAGATTTGTCTGTCTCCCAATTTCAGAGTCACAAGCCAATGCTAACGCTTCACTTCTCACCACAAGCCCCCTGGACCCACAGAACAGCAGAAAGGGGCGGCAGGGGATGGCCTGGGGCCAGGCTCGCAGAAGCTTAGAGGTTGGGGTGAAGGGGCAGGCATGCATTGCGTCAAGAAACCCCAGATTCTAGCATGCCCCGTCCCCTCTCCAGAGAGCAGCTCCCAGATGCGGGGAGGTGGGAGGGGATCGGAGGGGCCTATGGGTGAGGAGGTGAGGAGGAGCCGGCACCGGCGCGGCGGCGGCAGAAGTGGAACAGGTCTCAGGGGGGAGCTGAGGCAGGGCAGTCCTCCAGCCAGAAAGCACAGAGGGTGGGAAGGGGAGGGGAGGGTGGGGCGGAGTGGGGTGGGGTGGGGTGGGAGAGGAGAGGAGGGGAGGGGAGGGGAGGGGAGGGTGGCGTGGGGACAGGACAGAGCTCTCCTGGCAGGTGGGGATCCACCCCGGGAAGCGGGCCGGCGGGCGGGGAGAAAGGCTGGCCGGGGGGCGGGCAGACGGCTCACCTCGGGGTAGCAGTCCTTCGCTAACACCTGTAACATCGCCGTCTTCCCACACTGCACGTCCCCCACCAAAACCAGTTTACATCTGGCCACGACTGGCTGGGGGGCCCGTCTCTCCTTCATGCCTGCAGCCTCCGTGGGACTGGCGCTCCGGTTCCGAGAGGGAAGGACTGCGACAGGTGCGTCTCGGCGCGCGAACCGGCTGAATTCCCTGCCTCGCTCCAACTAAGGAGAAGGCCGGCCCGGCCCCCTTTATATCTGCCTGGACGAGCCAATCACAAGAGGAGGCGGGCGCTGTCAGAGCCAATCCCTGAGGTGGGATCCCCTCCAGCAGCCAATGGTAGGAGGATCTGAGTCAGCGCCCTCGGCCTCCCTTCCCTTTCTCTTAAAGCTGCACCTTCCTCGGAAAGGGGATTCCCACGTTTTGCACTTGTATTAGGGAAGAGGGAAGGGACTTGAAGCCAAATTTATGGGTCTTGAGTGTCCACCCAAGTGTCAAAAACCAGCCACGGACGTACAAAGTGAGGTCAAGCTAGAGTTGTTCCAGAAGAGCAGGACCTGCCTGAACTATAGACAGGTGGCACACCACACACACACACACACACACACACACACACACACACACACACACACACACGGTGAGGGCAGAGACCTCTGACCTCTTTGTTCCCTCTAATCCCCATCCAAACTAGTTCCCACTCCTGGCTTCCCCTCCCAGAAGCTTCTGCTCTGTGCCTTGATCAGTTCCTGCTATTCCCCTTCCAATTCCTGAGTCTCTCCCTCAGGAATCCCCTTCACCAAAAATAAATAAACAAGAAAGCCTTCTCGCATCATCTGGAAAAACCCCACACCGGCCCTGACCCAGAGATGGGCAGAGAGAAAGGAATGAGAGTGGGGTTGGGAGAAAAGATGACAACAACAAAGCAAACAAAGTCTCCGTCTGTTTGGCCAGACAACCTCTCACCCCGTGCCTGGCAGGAGCTGCTTGGGTATTTGTTCTGCTGCCTGGGTCCGGCTCCCGGGATGAATCAGGCACAGGTCCAGTTCCAGGTGACACCTGCTGATACCAATATGTGTCACCTGATTAAAGTCCAGGCGGGACTGGGATGAGAAAACTGAAGGGCAGCTTAACGCTGAGATGAGCTACATAACCGCCTACATAACTTGCCCCTCCGAGCCCTTGCAACGTAAGGTGCCAATCCACTCGGCAGACCATGGGATGTACACAGCTCGGATGACTCACTGCTTCTTTGCAACCACCAGAGCTCAAACAAGGCCTTCTGGTTATCGGGCTAAAGTAAGACTGACGGTGAGCAAAAGTGAAAGCACTCCAGAATCCATCGTTAGGTCCCTTCACGTGGGTGAGCCCAGCACCTCCTGAGCAGCTCTGGGTCTTACTCCATCTGAGCTTACCCTCAAATCACCATCACTGCGGACCCACCAAGGGATATTTCCCCTGTTATAAAGGATGCTTAGAATCCTTCCCCAGACCCAAAAGGACAGGTCTCTAAGGGTGAGATTCCCGATGCCCACTATAGACCCAAGGCCCACTACAGACAGGAGAATGGATGACATGGTGAGAATTTGACCTAGCCAAGGTTTCCCCTGTCAAATCCAGAGGCATCCAAGTCCACAGTCCATGTTTGTCTGGGTGATCTGAGGCCAAGGCCTTTACTGTCCTCTACCCATCTCCTCAGGTCCCCCTGCCAGGGACCAGGATTCAGGTAAGGGAGCCTCCAAGGTAGAAAGAGAAGTTATCCAGCCCTAGCTGGTCTGACCCAGTGGATAGAGCATCAGCCAGCGGACTGAGGGGTCCTGGGTTTTACTCCACTCAGTGGCATGTATCTGGTACCTCAGTTGGTTGTGGGGCTTGAGCTTCCCGGGCCCTAGTCTGGAGGCAACCAATCAGTGTGTGTGTGTGTGTGTGTGTGTGTGTGTGTGTGTGTGTGTGTGTCTCCCCCTCCCTTCTACTTTTTCTAGGAATCAATGGAAAAATATTCTCAACTGAGGATTAACAAAAACAAAGGGAGGAAAGAAAGAGAGGGAGGGAAAGAGGGAGGGAGGGAATGAAGAAGGGGGGAAAGGAATGAGGAAGGGAGGGAGGGAAAGAGAGAGTTATCCAGGTGCTGCCATTCTCTTCCAGGCTCTCTGGAAGTTTCTCCTCCCTACGTTTCCCCAGGTCTCAGATAATGTTCCATCTATAGAATTTGTCCTCCTCTTGCCCTTTTCGGCAGCCTCTCTGAGCTGCCCATAAGTATAATTTGGGAGAGTTCCAGGAACAGCTGTAAGATCACAGACTGCCTCAACCTGGAGTCCTTCCTCTCAGCCTGACCTTTTCCTCCTGTTCCCACCCTCTGTCTCTTCTGGACTCAGAACACCAGTGGGTTCCCATACATCCTGTTAACCCTTAGCTGGGTTACCTCCAATGGCAGCCCCAAAGGTTTTAGCTCCTGCTGCCCCATGTTCTCTACCAGCCTCCCCTACACACGCCCTCCATCAGCCACTCAAAAAAAAAAAAAAAAAAAATCAAAAAAAAAAAAATCAATGCAAGTAAAAACTGTTCCTGCTATGCAAACAGCTTCTCTGGCTTCTGGCTTCTAACCAGATCGCCATGCCTGAGCTCTTCTGAGATGGAAATTCTGGAGCTGGTGTTATCTCTGGTTCTTCCCTGGGTGGCTACATTTCAGGGTAGGGCAGCCGGAAGCCTGCAGTGAGACAGAGCAGCCCCCATCATGGCTGACTCTCAAGATGTGTCTTTGAAGATATTTTGTGGGTCACAGGTTTATGAGTTGTGGTGGGAAAAGTGAATTGGGTTTGTGTTAGGTCAGAAGTTAATGTGACATGAAAAGAGGGAGAGGGTGGCACCAACGACCAGCAGTGCTAGCTGTTGGGCCCAGCTCGGCCCTTAACAAGCTGTGTGTATTTGGATACATCACAGCCTTCTCTGGGCCCATTTCCTTAAATGTAATTGCAAGGGATTTGAACTAAATAAGGGGTTTTAGCCATTCTTTTATTAGCAGTAAGACTCCCCCGCCCCCCCCCACCCCCCCCACCCCACCCCAAGTCTATTTAAACCTCTTTTACGTGTCTTTATTTTAAAGTCTATAGCCAGAGAAATACATTTACAAGATGTCTCTTTCTGATCAAGACCAGAAGAGTTTAAAACAAGATTATACTGCCCTGGCTGGTATTGCTCAGTGGTTAGAGTGTTGTCCTGCACACCTGAAGGGTCTCGGGTTTGATTCCTAGTCAAGGGCATGTAGCTGGGTTGCAAGTTCGATCCTGCCCCCATCCCTTTCCGCATGGGGGTGTGTGCAGGAGACAACCAATCATTGTGTCTTACATTGATGTTCCCCTCTCTCTCCCCCCCTTCCATTTTCTCTGGGGAAAACAAATCAGTGGAATATGGGTAATATCCTCTGGTGAGAATTAACAAAAAACAAACAAATGAAAAACAAGTTATTATACTTGCTCCATCCAGGAAGCTCAGTTGGCTAGAGCATCTTCCCAATACACCAAGGTTTCAGGTTAGATCCCTGACCAGGGCACATGCAAGAGTCGACCAATGAATGCATAAATAAGTGGCACAACAATAGATCAATCTCCCTGCCTCTCTCTGTCCCTTCCTCACTCACTCTCAAGTCAATAATAAAAAATAAAGTAAGGTTATACATGAAAACTTTATCCTAAGATAAAGGAAGCCAGTCACAAAAGATCATACATTAGGATTACATTTGTATGAAATGTCTAGAATAGCCAAATCCAAAGAAAAATAGATTAGGGGATGCCTAGGGCTGTAGGGTTGAGGGGAATGGAGAGTGATAAAATGGGTATAGGGTTTATTTTTGGGGTGATGAAAATCGTCTAAATTTGATTATGACGGTGGTTGTAAAATTGTGTGAATATACTAAAATCACTGGATTATACAGTGTGAATAGATTATACAGTAGTGAATAGCTTTTTTTTTTTTTTTTTTTTTTTTTTGAAGGGGGTGGAAATGTGAAAGCATTTTAAAAGGTAGAAAAAATAGCCAAGCAGGTGTGGCACATGGTTGAGCATTGACCCATGAATCAAGAGGTCCCTGGTTTGATTCTCAGTCAGGGAACATGCCTATGATGTGGGCTTGATCCCCAGTGTTTCTCTCTCATTAGTATTTCTACCTCTCTAAAATTTCAATTAAAAAAACATACTTTAACAAAAATAATATAAATAAAAGTAGAAGGAATAATACAACGAAGCCCTATGTATCCATTATCCATCTTCAACAATTAACATAATCTTACTTCAGCTATATCCCAACCTACTTCTCCCTACTACCCCTCCTGTCCTGGATGATTTTAAAACAAATGTTGGACATTATATCATTGCATTCTTAGATATTTCAGTAGTCATCTCTAAAAGAAAAAGACTCTTTGTTTACACAACCACAATACCATCACAACTAAAAAAAAAAATAATAACTCAATGTCACCAAATATCCAGTCAATGTTAAAATTCCCTTAATTGTGTAATATATCAGTTTATTCAAATCAGAATCTAAACAAGGTCCACACAGTGAATTTGGTTGCTATGGCTTGTAAGTTTCTTTTCTTTCATAAGTTCCACTAACCCCTTCCCTTTTTTCTTGTAATTTATTTGTTGAACAAATGAGGTTGTTTATTCTACGGTGTATTGCATATTCTGGATTTTGCTGATGGTATTTCCATGGTGTTGTTTACATGTAGTAAATTCCTTTACAACTTAAATCCTATGCAGAATCTCAACACACACACAAAGCGACACAAAACGAAATTGCTCTGGTTGAATCAGAATGAGAAATCTGGAGGGGGGCTCATACCCCACCCCACCCCCCTCCTAAAACAAACCCTAGGAACACAGTTTAAAAACCACTAGCCTACAGAGCATGAGAGAAGAGAGAGAGAGAGAGAGAGAGAGAGAGAGAGAGAGAGAGAGAGAGAGAGAGAGGAGAGAGAGAGAGAAAGGACCACATGTTCAGAGCTCAGAGCTCAGGGCTGCCCTATCTCTTTCTGACTCTGATTACTCTGATAAAGTCCTAATCTGGGACAGTGACATAGCACACAAAGGTGTTCAGGGTGGATACAAACTCAAATTCACTCTGAGTC